ATAAAACACGCAGAACATTGATAACTATAATCACACTCTACCTTACATAAAACACGCAGAACATTGATAACTGTAATCACACTCTACCTTACATAAAACACGCAGAACATTAATAACTATAATCACACTCTACTTTACATAAAACACGCAGAACATTGATAACTATAATCACACTCTACCTTATATAGAACACGCAGAACATTGATAACTGTAATCACACTCTACCTTACATAAAACACGCAGAACATTGATAACTATAATCACACTCTACCTTACATAAAACACAATGAAAAGAATGGCATACACAGGCAGATATGCAGTGTGTACAATACCAGGTTGAGGTGTAATATTTCTGAACAGTGATGAAACGTATTACGTAAAAAATGACGTCACCATTTCTAACGCCGCTTTTGATTGGCTGATACAGCGGCCTCATAATTTCTAAGAGTAAAAGAGTCCATCAATAAAAGTGAATTTTCACAGGGATTGTGTATAGAAGTTTAAATGATAAGGATTGACTTGAATATATTTTTTAAGTTATTGAGCTATAACACAAAAAACAAGAATGTACTCTCATTATAAACCGGTTTATTTAGAGTACAATCCATTTTTGTGTGTTATATCTCCATAACATTAAGATATATTCAAGTTAATACTTAAATAACCTGAAAAAAGTCTTAGTATTGGGTAAAGAGCAAACATAAAATTATTTGTAAATAGATTATACTCCTTTCAAAAAACAGTAAGCAGTCTCACCTGGAATGATTTTTGTTCCGTGAACGGTGATAGCAAATTACCATGAACCCAATTTTTTAAAGGCCACACTGCAAAAGAATGACACACTCACTAGAGCTGTTAGGTAACCTGTGTTTTCGCCTGAATTACCTGCAAAATACAATATCAATGTTCCTTGTATCTAAACCATTCAAACTACAATTTACATCCTAATACTATACATTATCGAACTTGAAGAAGTATTCCTTTTTTTCTGCAGTTTCGTCACTACTGTTATAACAGTGATGTTACATGTTACGCTGTAGTTTATGTATTTCGTCACTGCTGTTTGTATATTTCATAACAGTAGTTTGTGTATTTCATAACAGTAGTTTGTGTATTTCGTCACTGCTGTTTGTGTATTTCATAACAGTAGTTTGTGAAATTTGTGTATTTCATCACTATGTCTATGTCACTTTCATTACTGCAGTCTACTTTTTACTAGATAAATCAATGGAGAAAAGTTAAATTTTCTTTTCAATACTTACACTCGGGTGTACCACACACATACGAGGGTGCCTTTATGCTGTTGTATCGTCGTTCACACTTCTTGTATTTCATTCCTAGCGAACAAAATGAACATTTTCTCAGCCGCATTAATTCAAAACAATAATATTGATACAAATACAACTGTTATTTTGTGACTTCATTCCCCCTTTTTTATTCAATTTTATTCTATTTCATATGGTTAAATATACCAATTGAGCTCGGATTTCTAACCACTTCAGAACATTTAAGGGATTTCGTTCTTCTTCAATAAAATGAAACTTAGCCATGGAACCTTTTAATTCGAGTACTACTGCCATAAAACGGAACTTTGCATATGAAACGATTTTATCCGGTGTTAAGGGATCTCGCTCTATTTCCATAAATGACGAGTACTACTGCCACAAAATGGAACTTTAATTCGAGTACTACTGCCTTAAAAGAGAACCTTTTTATTCGAGTACTACTGCCATAAAATGGAAATTGTATTTGAGTACTACTGCCATAAAAGGAACCTTTTATTCGAGTGCTACTGCCATAAAATGGAACCTTTTATTCGAGCACTACTGCCATGAAATGTAACTTTTTTTCGAGTACTACTGCCATAAAATGAAACTTTATTCAAGTACTACTGCCATAAAATGGAACCTTTTTATTCGAGTACCACTGCCATAAAATGGAACCTTTTTATTCGAGTACTACTGCCATAAAATGGAACCTTTTATTCGAGTACATCTGCCATTAAATGTAACTTTGATTTAAGCACTACTGCCATGAAATGGAAATTTGATTTGAGTACAACTGCCACAAAATGGAAATTTTATTTGAGTACTACTGCCATAAAATGAAACTTTTTATTCGAGTACTACTGCCATAAAATGGAACCTTTTTATTCGAGTACCACTGCCATAAAATGGAACCTTTTTATTCTAGTACTACTGTCATAACATGGAACTTTTTATTCGCGTACTACTGCCATAAAATGGAACTTTAATTCGAGTACTACTGCCATAAAATGGAACCTTTTTATTCGAGTATTACTGCCATAAAATGGAAATTGTATTTGAGTACTACTGCCATAAAATGGAACCTTTTTATTGGAGTACTACTGCCATAAAATGGAACCTTTTTATTCTAGTACTACTGTCATAACATGGAACTTTTTATTCGCGTACTACTGCCATAAAGTGGAACTTTAATTCGAGTACTACTGCCATAAAATGGAAACTTTTTATTCGAGTATTACTGCCATAAAATGGAAATTGTATTTGAGTACTACTGCCATAAAATGGAACCTTTTTATTCGAGTACTACTGCCATAAAATGGAACCTTTTATTCGAGTACAACTGCCATTAAATGTAACTTTGATTTGAGCACTACTGCCATGAAATGGAAATTTTATTTGAGTACTACTGCCACAAAATGGACGTTTTATTTGAATACTACTGCCATAAAATGGAAATTTTATTCGATTACTACTGCCGTAAAATGGAACTTTTTATTCGAGTACTACTGCCATATATGGAAATTTTATATGAGCACTACTGCCATAAAATGAAACTTTCTATTCGAGTACTACTGCCATAAAATGAACCTTTTTATTCGGGCACTACTGCAATAAAATGGAACCTTTTTATTCGAGTACTACTGCCTTAAAATGGAACCTTTTTATTCTAGTACTACTGCCATAAAATGGAACTTTAATTCGAGTACTACTGCCATAAAATGGAAACTTTTTATTCGAGTACTACTGCCATAAAATGGAAATTGTATTTGAGTACTACTGCCATAAAATGGAACCTTTTTATTCGAGTACTACTGCCATAAAATGGAACCTTTTTTTCGAGTACAACTGCCATTAAATGTAACTTTGATTTGAGCACTACTGCCATGAAATGGAAATTTTATTTGAGTACTAATGCCACAAAATGGACGTTTTATTTGAATACTACTGCCATAAAATGGAAATTTTATTCGATTACTACTGCCATAAATTGGAACTTTATATTCGAGTACTACTGCCATAAAGTGGAACTTTTTATTCAAGTACTACTGCCATAAAATGAAACTTTCTATTCGAGGACTACTGCCATAAAATGAAACTTTCTATTTGAGTACTACTGCCACAAAATGGATTTTTTTATTCGAGTACTAATGCCATAAAATGGAACTTTTGAAATTGTTTTATCCTGTTTTACTTAAGCTCTGATAAATCTTTTCTGAAATTAAGACAATACCGTAATGGGCCTTAATTAAACACGAAACACATGGGTCTTAACGTTTGCCTAAATTAAAATATAATTTTACTTTTTATTGTGATGTGAGAAAGAAAAACACGTTCATAACAAAATGTCTTTTTGACTGTGAATTGGCATTTACATATTATGTTCGGAAGTATTCAATATTAATATGTAATCTAGTAGATATCTGGAAATGATAAAATGCTATAGTATAGCGATGCAGTAAAATTAAACCCTTAAAGAGGGAATGATTTTACTGCAATCGTATGATAAGAACTCTATCCAAGTTTGAATTATTAACCAACTGAAAGTAAACATAATAAACCCCAAAATGTCATTTCCTTACATAAATCATAGTAGTCATTACCCCATTGCACGGGATGTAATGAAATTCACCATTCGATAAAACTGCTGAGGACCATTTCATCCACCAAGAGGATTTGATTCTAGCATATCTTGATCTGAGGAAGAAGATTGTGGAAATTTCAGCCAGTTTGTCCCCGTTTGGCTCCGCCACGCTGCCCCCTGAGGGGTCAACCCCATCTTGAGTAAAGATTCTGTTCCCAACCGAGAGCTTATTATTGCTAACAACAAAAGTGTTCTGAGTGTTAAAATATCAGCGTTGCCAGACCAGGATTTGAACTCTGGACTTAAGATTGTTATACTGTCGCTCTAACCAACTGAGCTAGCTGGTCAACGGAAGTGCCCTGGCCCCATTGCGAAATTAAGGGGAGGCTACTGTAAAAAGGAAAACCTACAGTGGACTATTTTACATTATGTGTTATTTTTTGCAAGGGAATAGACCTCCTTAAGTATACGTGTTTGTTTTAGACCAAGTTTCCTTACCATCGACGTTTTGGCGTGCGGGTCCGCACTCATAGACTGTGTCAATGGAGCTGTGGATGCACGTGCGATTGACGTCATCTTCAAAATCACAGCTGTTTAGATTGTCGTTGACGTTGACGCTGTCCTTATATACGCACTCCCTAATTACCTAAATAAACAAACATTGAATAGATTATATGCCAAATACACATGTAAACAAAAGAAAACAAGACCACTCTGAAGTGAATAAAGAAACGTTAACGCTAACTAAAAATCCGAAACTACGGCAAACTATGAGCTGACAAAACATTAAGATATAGAGACCCTGCAAATATAAACAAGGAAAAATTACCAGTTTTTCCGGAAGGGTCTGTGTTTTCTGCTTGATTGACAACGATTGACATTGTATCTAGGTCAAATGCAAGTGATATCAAAATATTTACATTTGCTCTGCATCCTTCCTTTCTAATGCATTGGGAAGGCAAATGTTGTTATGAACTATAGCGACATTTGCTATCGTAACGTCATCAATTTCTATCGTGATATCATTATTTTCATTGTTGTCAACACTTAATTTGCTGCTCAAAAAAATATTCGCAATAACTAAATGAAGCATAATTATTCTTATCAGTATGTAAATATAAATAATGAATATTTAGCAAATGTTGTTATTGTCCTATAACACACATTTCAATTGCTGGCAAACTTACATAAACCCTTTCTGGGCTTTAAGTTTGTCATCAATAGCAATTAAGACCATAACAACATTTGCTTAAACATTCATTGCTTAGATAAATATTTCACTATTTAAAAGCAACACAACGTCGTCGGTACATCTGAAAACGAAAATGATGGGCGTTGGCAAAGTTTTGTTAACTGTCCTCTGATCGGCTCTTCAAAAAACTGACCTGAGCCCCACGTAACAAACAAAAAATAGGCGGGATATTTTCTTACCAGGAACTCTCTGTCCGAAAAATCTCATCGAACTCAACAAAAGTATTGTCAGTAGAAAAATTCAGTCCATGATTTCGTTCTCATATATACCTCCTCACATGAAAAGAGACGGAAAGTGTTTGTTATGTACAATGTGTTGCAGGGAACAGAGTGGAAAATAGAAAATGTCTTGATAGAAATGATGTTTTTGAGGAAGGAATGGGCAAAAGCTTCTTTTGATTTCTTCGAGTTCCAGAGCCTTTCATGTTTAGTTAAAACTCAAACAACATGGCTGAGGTCAAGCATCATTTAATAATCAGAATGAGGCTGTCGTGATGACATCGAAATATCAAGGGTAACACTACTGATCGGATATGGTATTAATTAGTTACAATAGATTACATATATATGACGGAGCCCATCAACTGCGCTTCTATAGTATACAACGTCACATTACAACTGTGACCTTAGTTTAACTCATTCACCCCTGAATTTTCGTAATGAAATATTCCAACCTTTAAATTTGAAGAGTTCAAATGTGTATTCAGGGGAGAATGAGGAAGTATGGGTAATGACTCGGTAAAACGTTGTTTATAAGGATTTTTGAGACATTGGGGAAGATTCCGCTTTCCAAAAAATTACAAACATTTTTGAATTGTCTGCAAATACCCCGAGGGACAAAACAATCTCTTCAAATGACATATTCGTTTTTTCCAGATCAATTTTTAAGATCTTATAATAAAGGAATAATGATGCAAATTCTCTGGTTGGAAATACTTATTTTAAGGGTCCAAAATCGAGAGTATCCCTCCTAAATAGGGAGAGCTTGCAAGTATGGTTACAGTTTAAGGAAATATTCTAAATTAAAACCATAATTTGTAAGAAAAAATGAACTGATTAAGTAGGGTCAACAAACAACGACCACATTTTATGTAGAAATTGTTCGCGTGCGAAAATGTTCACGTTATGGTTCTTAAACTGATCGCATTGTGGCAATTTTTCGGGTTTTGGGAATGGTTCGAAATATTTGTTTTCTGTGTATCCATAATCTATTAATGAATGATAATTTGTTGTCGATATTTAGCACTTATTAACTCTAGGTGAAAAATAAACCACCAGCATTTCCACACCGCGAAAAGTTCCATTTTTACAGTATGTTCATGATTTAAAGCTGACAATCTGATTGATTTTTCGCAAAGGTTTTTCAACCATCAAGTAATACTCACAGGAATATTTTCGCACCGTTCTCCCTGATAGTAACCCCCTCCATCCAGTACTGTAAGTAAAGATGATACGAAGTTAGTTAATTTGTTTCCCTAGAAACTCTCAGATAATACTAAATGGGATACATTTGTTATGATATATACAAAACAAAAAACAATAATGATAGTTTTTTTATTCAAATTGCCATACGATAACAGTAAGAAATTCAAACGTTAATCAAACAAAAAAGGCCCCACCAAAACAAAATAATAATTAAAAGAATATTTAAAATAAATAAGAAAAAAAAAAAAAAAAAAAAATTAAAAAAAAAAAAAAAAAAAAAAAAAAAAAAAAATTACACATTTTTTATATATATACACATAATGCTAATATATAGTCATCTACATAGCCAAATCAAAGTTTGAATGCTGAAAGTCAACATAATCCGGCAATTAAGAAGAGCCGGCGTTATTATTTTACTTTACTTTAAACATATTGCATTGCCAATTAATTTGAACAAGGGATTGGACATAAGTTATTACCACTTATGCCAGCCTTCTGTTGCATGACTTTGGCTATTTTCCAAGTGGTCTTATATTGTTGACAGCGGGTCAATATTCACTTATGACATCATTTCAATTGTAACGTAACGATTCTCTTTGCCATATGCAGTACTTTTCTGCTGAACATTTCAGGATACGTTCCATCTTGTTTAATAATTTAAATATTGTTTAGCATCTATTGTAACAGTTCAGAACTTTTAGTAAATATGTGGTGAGAAAGTGATATTAACCTCGACTTCTTCTCTCTTAATAGCTCGTTTCTCAGGTCCATAAAACCACAAATCTACCTCAACAAAAGTCCATAATTGTTCAATATATGAGTTCACGTTAGTACGGTCAGCAGACCTGCTGCATTTTGTTTTCATTAATATATATACAAATGTACATGCAATAAATGAATATTTAAATTGTTTAAGGATTCTCGCCCACTAAAGGCAAAACATTTAAGAAATCCACTGTGATTTTACATTCATACAATATCTCCCCCTCATTTCTCTTTAGATATAACTGTGCATGTAGTACGACGGGGCCAGTGAACTGTCATTGTAGTTAAAGCTCAGTTGGTTAGGGTGACTGTTTTGTGATCGGAGGTCATGGGTTCCAATCTCGGAAGACATTTTTATAATAAGATCACTGGATTTTTTAAAAAGGAAAATTGTATTTTTTTGTGGGTTTTTTATTTGTTTCAAATTATGATTATTTTGGTGTAAAAAATTCATGTTTTATGTCGACCACATGTGAGATGAGCCCTTGACTCAATGTGTTATCTAATTTAAATGTTATTATATTGAAGGTATTATCATGTGATATTTTTTTGCGGTGATACAAGAATATTTAAGACAAATGTTAAGGAAGGGTAAAGCTTGTAAAGAAACATCCTTGCAACGACTAAATATACACATTTTCCTAAATGTATGAGGGAAACGTACCTGGTGGGCATTCGCACTTGTATATAGGCTTTGGTTTAGCGTTACAGTCCGATTCCGTTTTCTTGAGTTTTCCACCATTAAGACAAACTACATTATCATATTTGCAACCTGAGGTTAAAAAGAGATTAAAAACGTCAGCTGTGAATATATGAATATTAAATACAATAGGATAACTCATCAACAAGGCAAAGATAGTTGATCGACGCAATGTGCAAAGGAAATGTGTCCTCAAATATTCAAACCGGAACTAATAAAACCTGAAAATGATTCAGTCAAACCAGAACTAACGTAAAACAGAAAAGAATTCAATAAAGTAAAACTATTGAGTACTCCATATTACTACACCAAGAATTTTGAGAATTTTATTAACTCCCCTTGTTGCAGTCATTACGTCAAAATATTGTAACGTAGATATTAAACGTGATAGCCTGAGAATGACTGCAAGACTTAAAGAAGAAAGCGACGATCAACTATATTTGCTTTCAGCCTCCATCCATGCTCAAGAATGCAGTAATGTAACATAAAAATAGTAAAATAGAAACAAAACAACAAATAACAACATGACACCACTCAAAACAGTTAATATTGCATTATTATTATTATTATTATATTAATAATCAAATTATCAACATTAAGGATCCTTGTCCCGCTGCACTGTTAATTTCCCCTACAGATGATAACCTCACTTTAACATCCGAATTGGATGTAATTATACCACAGACAGGACTCTTCCGGTGAACAGGTAGGTTAACGCGACAGTATACTTATCTCAAGTCCAGGGTTCGAAACCCGGTATAGTCCCACTAATATTTTTCCAATCAAATCCCTGTTGGTGATTTTTGTTAAAAGTTTCACAAGCAACTGTATAGTTATACACTTTTTGGCAGTGGTGCAGGGATCCTTAATCAAGTTGCGGAGACAATAAATATGCAAATATTTATTTGTGGTAAATAATTTACTAAAAAAGAATAGATATATATACAATACAGTGCATTACACACAGTCATACCAGTTCAAGGTTATCATGTCACTTTTTATAGCATTTATATCAATTATACAATATCATAATAATTAAGGAAGATAGAAGCAATAAAATATATAGTATTACCTCGTTATACTGCCTCCATTTGTCCAGAAAAGGTTTGACGTTATAAAGTCGTTTGGCTATAAATTTAAAGGAAATGTTTAAAGGAATTTTTTAAAAAAGGGACCTTGAAATATGCTGGCGGTAAACGAGGTGGCAAATGGAATAAACGGCGTTATATCGAGGTTTTATTTACTTTGTCAGTTATACGTACAAAGCGGAACCTGTGTGCGGTTGCATTGCATGAACTGGTCATTGCCGGCACAGAAGCACTCTAGTTTCCCAAATACATGACCATTCTTTGCCGATTCGCAAGTGGCTACCGGCAACGCTGTAAAAAACGGTGATAGATATACATTTAAATATTACACGTAATGTGTTAAGCTTTTTCACCTAAGCTTTCAGGATTTTCACGTAGGGTTTCCCATCCTCGATACTCCAGGGGTTACGCTCACTTTAGCTCTCTGTACCCCTGAAATATATCATAGCAAAAAGGAAGGCTCAGTGTGCACCACTTTGTGGATGGGACGAAAACTAGTTTAAAACTGAACGTTTGTCATAATTATCAATTTGATTGAAACGTTAAGGAACAAAATATGTCCCAGAGTAATGTATGCGCCTAAACGTTACGGTCATCAATGGTTCTATGTAAGTTTGATATCCTCTCTTTTTCTCTCTCTTAGAAACTATGATCGAATGAAGTCAACAGTATATAACTGCATTCTGATCATTTTGATCGTTTTTGACTTTGAACTTTTAAAGTGAATTTGTAAGTTAGCCTCGCAGGTCATTAATTTTTTCTCAATATCCGTTCAGAACACCTCGGCCGATTCACTTCGGTCATGTAACTTTGAAAATCAGGGCAAGGTGTTCCAAATGGTTCCATTATCGAATCCTTAACTATTTCCAGGGGAAATTTGTATTCATTGAGTCATACTTTCCTTCCTCAACATGGTTTTACCTTTACAAATTTTGAGTAGATTTGTGCATGTCTGTATAAAATTCTTTGTTATCAAGTATTTTCAGATATTTTCAAAACCTTTTTATTTCTATTAAAATGAACTATATTTCTAATAACTTTAAAAAATGAATATTTATAGTCAATACTTGTTTACTTACAAATATCTGACGTCGTGCACTGGGTCGAATTCATAGCTAAAACGAAAGGAAAAGTACATTATGATCGACAATAATGCAAAATAAAACAAAATGATCGATATGAAATTTGAAATGAGAAAAAGTTCTGCTCGCCGCAATTTTAACTTGTCAATTGAGTATTCTCCCCTATAGATATAAGTTGCAGTAACCGAAAAGAATACTTTCTAGTTAAGAGTTAATGCCCTTGTCAAGATTTTCATCTATCATTTTGATGCTATGCATTTACGATTTCTGGATGGCGATATTGATAAAGTGATAGATTGGCATTAGTCCTAGTTCGATCGTATAATTTCTTTGACAAATGTTAAAATTTCGAACATCAGCACTTCAGTATAAAATGCTTCGAATTGTGTAATTAATACGGAATATTTTTGGAGAAAATGACACTTAAAAGTGACTAAAGCAAGGGTAAACTTTAATTTGATGATAGCTTCACAAAACTGACAAATAAATAAATATAATAAAATAATCAATTAAGAGATATTCATTTATCTACACCAGGTGGAACAGCTTTGTATTACTCGTACTTATAATTTTTGCATATAGTGGTTTTTTTATTCATAAAATCATACATGAAATGTGCAACTTATAAAACGCTACATGATTTTTTTTATTTTATTTTTATATATATTTTAAAGAATATTATTTTACCGTGCAATTTCTGATGGGCTTGACTTTCTATCCATTGGTGATTTGAAATAAATACACACGTGTTTGATCCTGAAAAGAAAGAAAGAAAATACGTTACATAAACATGAAGTTGATTTTCGCTGTCTGCCGGAACCAGTAGTCATAGCCACTCGTTGCAACTCGGCAGATTCCGTACCTATATTCATTCCATCTTGTTTAATGACTAAAACTTTATTTAGCATCTAATATTTAGCTATTAAGGACCCTTGTTGTTAACATGATACTATTTGCACCTGAAATGTGATAATGACCTCGACTTCGTCTCGGTTAATATCGATTTCGCAGGTCTGTATGACCACATATTCACCTCAACCAAAGTCCATATTTGATGAATATTCATCTCATTCAAAGGCCATAATTGATAAATATTAATCTCAACAAAAGTTTATTTTAATAAACATATGCAGCTGCATACGGCTTTGTATATAACGTATGGGACATACCTTCTGCCTGAGGCGAAATCGATGCGACACCAATTGTCATCAAAAGGTACCAAAACATTCCGTAAATAATTCTCCTCCGCATGTTTATCATGCAAGTCCTGTGTAAAAACAAGTAGACAAAATAACAAGAGGCCCATAGCGCATGCATTGCTCTTCTGTTTCCTTTGCTATCTGAACTATTTGTAAATAGACCCTGCGAAGTGGCCATCTTAGATTTCTTTTTGACTCAAAGAATTCAACTTAATGAACCTATTAAAGGCAAGGACTGGAACGTTTTTACGAAGTCTGATCAAAATTGATCTAATGTTATTGAGAAATGTGAGAAAAATATATCTCATTTAATCAAAGGAAATATTGGGCACTATGGATTTAAAATCAACCCGAAAATTAATAGCGCATGTTCAGAACCACGAGAAAATTATTCAGCTCACTTTTGGTGACCTATAGGACTGAGGGAATATGAAAAGATACTGAAAAGGTTTCAGCCTATTTAATTACTGCTGACCATCTTTCATAGAGACTTGGTTAAAACAATAACATCACTTACTAGGGACCAGGCAGGAGGAAATTGAGGAAAATTGGGAAACGACTCAGCCATTCAAAGAATGCCTTTGTCCTATTACATGCTATTGACACATACATACATTTACAATAACATAATGTCAATGATAATAGGCAAGGTCAATAACATTTTCGTTTCTTAGAAACAAAGGTATAAATCCATCTTTGATACGGATCCTAAAGAATGTTTAAACTTTGTCTTGCAGCAGTTGCACTCTGTAAAGCTGGGCATACAAGCAAACAAAAAAGCTCAAAACATATTCAGGGTACATAGGCAAAAGTTCAGGTCAATATCCGGTCACATTTTTAACCTGAAATGAGCAAAGAGTCTATACGTCAAACTGACCTGCATTTAACCTGAATTTGACCTGATATTCATATTAAATAATTGTAGTACAGTCCACATATAGTGCTGGTTTAATAAATTTGATCACCATCAAGTGCATCTTCGATATCAAGGGGTAACGCTCACTGTTCCTCTCTGTACCCCTGGAATACGTCATAGCAAAATCGAAGAAACACGGCTAGCTATTTGATTGGTGTCAGGTGAAATTACCTGACCAATCACTAGGTTGATACTTGTCCTTTGAAGATTTCGGAGGAGCGACGCCCGATTTCAAAGCCAAAAGGTTTTTACCGTTACCCGAAACCGAGATCCTTTTGATGTTCATCAAAGGATCAAGCTAGTCTTCCCGTCTCTTTCACAAGGTGGTCCACGATGAGCCTTCATTTTTGCCACAGCATATCACAGGGGTGCAGAGATTGAAAGTGAGCGTAACCCCTGAATATTTGGTGCTTTCTGAGTTAAATTATCTGATGGTAAGAATATACTCTTCCATGTTTAGAGGTGTAGGTAAGGGATATCCGCATGTAGATATTGACTTGTACACAATGAGCGAGGGATATCGATGACGGCGTCATCATGTTAATCCTTGTTTTAACTGATAAGGATCTCTGTCCTGTCGCAAACAAAAAACTAGATAATTCTTCTATAGTTTTCTCCCCTACATTTCGTTTCGGACATGTCTGAAGCGCGACTGGGCCGGGATACTAGCGTTGGCTAAGTAGCTCAGTTGGTAAGAGGGACAATATAATGACTGGAGGTTCAGGGGTCAAATCCAGGTCTTGCTCAGTTGCATTTCTACACTAAAAACACTATTTTAGATAGTTTCTTTTTAGAAATAATTAATTAAAGTAATAGTTATGCCTGGTAAAAGGATACCGATGTTTAGTAACGTGTTTTGGTGAGGTACTGGCATCATTAAGCCACATTGATCGAGAACAGTACGTGAAAGATACAACCTTAAATTATTTTGATATGTTTACGATATGATATTTATCCATTTATGACATATTGATTTTATATTTTAAAAAAAAACCCAACGAAATTCATCAAAACACCGTACATTTTAAATAATATTTCCTGAATGTGATAAACGTAATTACATGAACATTTAATACCTGTATAATATGGAATTAAAAATACTGTAAATGTGTGGAAATTCTCACGTTAATCAAGTTGATTACGAATGCAAAAATATCAGCTCACTAATCTTAATTCATAGATTATATACATTAAAGATAGATAAAGTTTAAGGATTTCAGAAAATGTCAACATCCCGATTTGTTTAAAAGAAAACAGAGTGGCGAAAATGTGTTGTTTCTTTCCTTTTTTTCTATATTACATTGCCGGACTCATACAAATGTACATATCTTTTTTGAGAATAGTGACCATTCAAATCCTGAGAAGGTTTTGATGAAGTGTTTGAGTTTGGGTTACAGCCGACGGTTTTGAACATTTTTTGGTTCTCTGGGCTATGAAACTTTAGCGAGGGATCTACATTACAATTTTCGCGAAGTTTTGCCTGTAATCGCATTTGTGGTCCAAGTACAATGTATGTATTTGTGATAGTCAATTGTGATGCCTGTTTGTAGGTTTTATACAATTATTGTTCGATTATTGTTCATTGATAATCTAGTAATTAACGGGAATGTTAGTTTTAAAGGTCAATATTTAGAAACATATCAGCGCACATGCCTATTTCACAGCGTGTGTTACAACATATGTCGTCTGCTATGAGGACCACAATCTAAGTATATGCATTGTATATATATAATACAGTCCTATAATAAACGTACTTGAGTTCCCACAGGTAAGTTTTACTGGTAGATTCACATTTTGGATCTTATGTCTAATATTTTCTATTTTTTGGGTTTGTGGAATTGTTTGGAACTATAACAATAATAAAAAAGATAAAAATAGGTTTGCTTATTAATCCTAAAAAGAATAAAAAAATATATAAAATAAAAGACGTAGTGCAATGTTTTTTTAATTGAAATTGTATGTATAAAAGTGATTATCTACAAGCTTAAGGCAAACAGGACATATAGTTTCATACAAAAAATGAAAGCAACATAGAACAAAATATACACAATGGCTTTATAATTCATTTATCTTACATTTTACATGATTACAAGATATTTTGTAGTGGGATGAAATCTAGACAATACCAGTTATCCCGTTAACACATATCAAAAATGAAAATGATGACAGAAGAATTACCAAACATTTAAAACAACTCATTGTTCGTTTATGTAACCAAATCACTCTCAATCATGTACACATGGAACACCATTACACAGCCCGCTAGCGCAAGGTATACGTGTATGTCAGGTACATTTGTACATGTAACAAGAAGCTATTGCACGTTCTCACGTGCAACCAAACATGCATTTTCATAGGAATCTTGATATTTAACACCAGCAAAAATATTCACAGAGTTAGTGCATTGCAGTTGTAATAATGATTTACTGGACGGAGCGGAACTCGCTCGACAGTAAAACCTAACGACCTCAAGCTTGTATACATGAGTACGGTACACAAAACACATCATTCCACATTCCATATGCGTTTCATATATGACATTTTTGAAGTCGTCTGGTCTCATGTCAGTGTGTTCTATTGTGTCAATATACGTCTTTGTATCGCAATCATTATTTCTGAAGTACTTCTGTTTACACATTTCCAAGTGAGGTCTCGGTATCGGATGTTGACATATCATCGTCTCGCACGAGTGCTATTGTTTATCCGGTGTTACTAGTAATTACACCACGACATTGAAAAGTCCGATTAGCAAAACGGAATGGAGACACGGAAAATACGACCAGAAAAAACATGTGTTAACGTAGCTGGCAGCGCTCCACTACACATACGCTACTAGCAGTAAATAAGATCCGGTGGGAAAACATGTACATGTTTTCTAAAACGCAACTTAAAAATAAACTCACCACATATAAAAGAACACGCATACAAAGCACTAGTCAGACCAAAACGTGAATACTGCTCTTCCATTTGGGATCCACACAACACAAACCAAATTAAACAAATAGAAAAAAAACACAACGAAGAGCAGCACGCTATGTAAACAACAGATACCACAACACTAGCTCCGTAACAGATATGATCCACACACACTACATTGGCCAACACTACAAACACGGCGCTCTCACACAAGGATGATCCTTTTTCACAAAATTGTACACCATATCGTAGCCATAAACCCAACATATACTGAACAAAAAAAGAAACGCACAATTAAATTATGCAATCAATAGCCTATGATATTTTGGGAAATTTGTAGAAAATTTTATATCAATATTAAGGGACAAGTCGACTGTTTACAATACTGTAGCAGAAAAGTGTGTGTGACGTCACTCGTGTCATCAGAAGTTACTCAAGAAGTGGGATACCAGCGGAAAACAACACGACACTTCAGTACCTGGTGACGGCACCTTTTGCACGAATCCCTGCACGGATTCTCCTATGCATTGAATCCATAAGAACATTTATTCGCCTTAAGGGAATGTTGTTCCATTCTTGTGTTAATGCTGCGATCAACTGGGCGCGGTAAGTTGGGGTTTTTTGACGTTTCCTAATACGCCTGTCCAGCTCATCCCGTGAGAAAATTACGACAGACTCTGGCAACATGCGGTCGAGCATTGTCTTGCTGGAAAATTAGGTTATGACGTCTGGGAAGTGGAAGGACATGTGGTTGGAGGATCTGGTCTCTGTATCGAAAGGCATTGAGGTTTTGATCCTGGACTACTAAGGGGGATTTTACTTTATGGGAGATGCCTCCCCAAACCATTACAGAAGCCCCACCGAATATATCGCGTTCAACCACGCATGCGTCGGCGAAACGCTCAACGCGTCTGCGATATACCCTTTTTCTTCCGTCTGAGCAGGGACGTATAGTGAAGGGGATTAGCAACTCCCTCTTTGCCTTACCAATTTTATGACACGTCAATCTAGACTTACCTCCCCCTGATTCAGGAGCAGATAGCGAGCACCACCTTTCTCAATTTTAACAAAGCAAGATGGCGTCGATACCGCTTCGTTAGATACAGAATGTGGCGTGAAAACAAACCAATCGCGATAAGTGTTCTTACGTCTTTTGTTTATCCCATTGTTATACGCTGATTGTATTACTTATAATTGATAAAATCTGTGGTATCATAGTAATTGATGTCTCGTTTTTGGGGTATATTTTTCTATTTTTAAACGCGATGTAACGCGTGGTTCAGAGTATTGTGGTGGGCGTCGATAAACAAAAATGCGGGATAAAAAAAACCCACATGTATGTGAACCACCTCACTCCAAAAATATTTGACTGATCTTTTTTAAATTAGCAGCAATAGAAAGCTGAATAATTTTTATAACGACCCAACCCATTTTAATTGCAAATAATATAATTTAACTTGTGTTATTTTTGTGTCAAAAAGAGTAAATATCAGCATTATTTTTCACTGGAACGTAAATCATTATTGCGAAAGTAGTTGGTGACTGCTCACTGTTTTGATTAAATTTTATAAACTATCGTTTATATTTTTTAAAACAATTAATATCAATAAACAGCTGAGTAATTTCTATGTTAAGTAGGCCTGATTTGATTTGCATTACTTGGAACTATAGCGATGTCACAGATGAAATNTTATGGCAAAAAATAACAAATAACTTGTGCTGTTTTTGTGTCAAAAAATGTCAATATTAGCATTATTTTCACTGGAACGTGCTTTACGAAATGTGATTTGTTGTAATAGCCACCAGCACAGCCGAAAGGCTAGACATAGTGGCAACGAAAGCCCTGTCCCTGGAATAAAAAGAAGACCTACTAATACACAGTCCCAATCAGGGCTAACCATTATCAAAACACTCCCATCTCGGCGAGATTGGTGACATGATTTTAACGCTAGTGCGCAAGCGCGGGCTGATCGAGAGGGGCTCTCGATGACTTCGCGGTTCGGTGAACAAACACAAAAGCGACGTGCTATAGAATCTTGACTGGGGCAGAGTTGCCAATCCCCTCTATATACTGTCCCTGGTCTGAGCGATACAGACAGAATCTAGACTCGTCGGTGAACATCACACGCCTCCATCGACGCATCCCAAACCTATTCGGGCCATGTCTGCGCATCCATTCAAGACTCACTTGCCGCCTCCGTGGTGTCAGAGGTGGCCCGACATAATGATTCTCTCGGCACGCAATCGGTTCCTGGCAGTTTGAGGCCTAATGGGTCTGCCATGTGTACCTTAGGTATGCGACGCAGTCTCTACAGCAGTCTTAAATCTGTTGCGCAAGTGCGACAATCGAATCGCTGTCTTGTCGTGCAGTCGTTACACATGGACGAACGCTCCTGGGACGATCGGAAACTAACCCAGTAGCACGGAAACGTGTACAGAGACGGTTAATTTACACGGGCCAACACCAAACTGCCGTGCGACAGCAGTGGCTATGACCATCCATCAACATCGCAATTGCTCTACCCCTCTAACACAAAGGAATCTCATTCCCATAGCAGCAGTACAATGCACAACAGTAGAGGACTTCAAGGCACACTTACCCTATGCAGCCATTGAAGCCCTCATCACACGCTAAAATATACGCCAACTTTTATCTTTTATCTATACCTTGCAAAAAAAGAATCACAAAAAACTTATCACTATAAATAACCCCCCTTTTCACGCCACTGTGTTAGGACCCCCAAGGGCATAAACATCACAATCGATGGAGCCCATGTACCATAAGCAGACATGATTTGGCACGTAACCAGGACAAGGGTTGCTAAACCAATGTGATCTCATTGGACGTCGCAAAGGCTTTCGACAATTGCATTATTGCAGATCATAGTTCTACACCAGTAATAAAGCAAAATTTCAATGTATTGCCTTATCTTGCACAGAAGTTTGCGGGGTCAGTCATGAAGATATTGTAGAACACGGTCACAATAGTAACTAATAGCAATGTATTATAGAAATTTGTCTAGACTATTGATACCGAGGAATTAAATTCGACGAATGCAGATTTCTTTGCAAGCAGGAAACAAGGGGAGACTAAAAAACTAGCTGCTTTCACCCTTCACAGGGCTCTTCAGGTTTATTCAAATTATTGAATAGACCTGAAGAGCCCTGTAAAGGGTGAAAGCAGCTAGTTTTGTACTCGGTCGTTAATCTTATTTTTTCTTTACTTACTTCCTTCACATGGACATTTAATCCCTTTTTATTATATATATATATATATATATATAGAATAAAAACAATTTTTTCAGATCGTCCGCTAGGCCTTTCTGCCTGTAGGGCTTCTTCAGGCGGATTAGTCGATCGTTAATTTTATTTTTTCTATATATATATTTATATATTTATGACCTATTCGTTAATTATATAAAAGATCAATTGTCAATAGATTGATCGATCGGGGCAAATGTCTTATTTCCCGGCTATAGCCACAGACTTGGATATCTGATTCCGTGCTTTAACACATAGTTATCGGTTTCATTAAAAAGAAATGAAGAACACACAATTATGTCATTGTGCAATTACAACTGAAACACAACTATATTTAGCAGTTCCAAGAACTATATCAATATGCCAAGATAAATACACCTATCAGCGCACATGCCTATTTCACAGCGTGTGTTACCACATATGTCGCCTGCTATGAGGACCACAATGTAAGTATATACATCATATATATAATACAGTCCTATAATAAACGTACTTGAGTTCCCACAGGTAAGTTTTACTGGTAGATTCACATTTTGGATCTTATGTCTAATATTTTCTATTTTTGGGGTTTGTGGAATTGTTTGGATCTATGACAATAATAAAAAGAGATGAAAAGAAGGTTTGCTTATTAACCCTAAAAAGAATTTAAAAAATATAGAATAAAAGATGTAGTGCTATATGTTTTTTTAATAGAAATTGTATGTATAAAAGTGATTATCTACAAGCTTAAGGCAAACAGGACATATAGTTTCATACAAAACATGTCTATACTGAATAACTGTTCTGATATCTTCAGTTGGGTCGGTTATAGTCGAGTAGTATAAAAGGAACGGATACCACAGAACCACTCAGCCAGCTGCTGTCGTTCATTAACACACAGAGATTTGTTGTGAGGTCCATCGTTTATGCATATATATATATATATATATATATATTCCCTAAACTTGATAAAAACGTTCCTCGTAAAATTAATCAAATAAGTCAGACACACATGAAAAAATGACATAAAGAATGAAAATTATACTACTCGACCGAAAAAGAACACCTCATTCATAATAACTGGATAACTATCTACATTATAATATAATAATACAGGTCATTTATCATGATGAATCGGTCATAGATCAATCATAATAGATTACAATACCCGCATTACTAACTATATGTCTGACCTTTTTAGTTACCGCTAGTTATTTTCATAATCAATATGTAAAAACCCATGTACGCATATATACCGCGCTGGAAGCTGACCCAGATTACTCTTATAACATGAGAGGCCGCGGGTCCGGCCTTTTTTCTATCGGACATGATTTTGCCGCCTGCGACGGCGCCTGTCAAAAGTTGTCTTGTCTTCGAGTAACACTACAATCTACATAAATGTTTTGTGCTTACATATATGCATGTTGAAGTAAATATACTAAATTAATATCTGTTCGACTCACCTCTCTGTTTCATATAGCACGGAATAAGATCTAAGTTCGTTGTTTTGTCTGAAGCTAGTGGAAATACCCGAAGAAGGTCTAAAAATAGAACCACGGCGTGTGGCGGTGGTTCTATTTTTAGATTACGGGGTATTTTCACTAGCTCTAGCACTAGTGACTACTACTGAAATTCACTTTCAATTGCCATTTAGTTTAAACATATTTTATTGCCAAAAAATGCAAGAGGATTGGGCACAAGTTACATGAACATTATTAACGCCCTTTCCTTATAAGATAAATAATTGTATATACACATCATAAGATGGATTTCATAGTTTAAATCAATACATTTATCTATTATTGGGAGAGAGAGAGAGAGAGAGAGAGAGAGAGAGAGAGAGAGAGAGAGAGAGAGAGAGAGAGAGAGAGAGAATGTTACTTATTCATTGCAGTTTATAAATTATAATGTACATCTCAATATTCAACATATAATGCACACATTCATTCTTACTTTTATTTACAAATTATGGTATATTTTGAAATTTGGTCATGAAAATGGAACCATCCAGCACAGTCAGCGCAGTGATATCCTGGCACTATTCCATACTTTCAACTATTCAACAGTTCGTCACGTCCCGTGCTTTGTGTCTTTCTCCTTTTCATTCCATCCTTTCTCGAAAATTCGTTTCTACCGCACTGGCTGTAACTGAATGGCCCATCACATGCCTATATTACATACATTCCAGCACACGCACACTTCTTGCATTCACGCTCTCGTGCACTTAAAAGAAAGTTAAACATTACAGAGGATTACTAAAATAATAAGGAACACACAAGTGTACGTTATGCCATGTAATACGGACACAAGCTAAGAAATGAATATGAAAGATAATGAGGACTGTTGGAGAGGAGACAGAAGAACGTGACCAAATTTAAAACCTGCGAGTACTCGATACATACTGTTGGACATATATAAATACATTTTTATTTTCGTCACTCGAATAATCTTCATGGCCATACAATAATTTCTCTAAGCTTAGAGGTAAGTATTCATGAAGATTTCTAAACATTTCAACTCTTTGATCAGTATATATACTGCATGTAAAAAAGAAATGATGAGCATTTTCATTAGGATATCCACATGCACAAATAGGAGAGTTGATTAGGTTAACATTAAAGAGATCATCATTTAAAGGGCTGCATTTATGACGGAGTTTGGTTAGTAAAATATTTAACTTACGGTCACCGGCTAAATAAAAAACAGGCACTTTAAATGTTTCATTTTGTTTTTTGAGGCAGTTTGTGAAGCTCTTAAAAGAATGTGCAGTTTTAATATTAGTGTCAAGCTCATTCCATAGTCTTAAAGTAGAAGGTATGAACGAGTTGAGTGAAGATTGTAAGCGGAAATTAGGAATGGAATAGTTCTCAGAGTTTCTCAAATTATAAGGAGTTAAAGTAGCTACTAGTGGCGGGAGAAGGTCAGTTAGGTAAGAGGGAGTCATATTGTTGTGAATTTTGTAGAAAAGTTGAAGTTTGCGGCGGGTGCGACGTTGAGACAAGACTTCCCAACCAGTTTCGAAGTAAAGAGACGCTCTACTAGCAAAAGATGGCAGGCCGGTGACAATACGCGCCGCTTCTAACTGGAGTTTTTCAAGTTTATTTGCATCGGCAGTTGTACAACCGTCCCAAACTTCGCAACAGTATTCAAGCAGAGGGAGTATAAAAGTAAGATAAATTCTGTTTAATGTCTTGCGATTTAAAGTATATTTTAACTTGCGGAGAATTCCTATTTGTTTCGTAACAGTTTTACAAATGTTATCAATATGGTGAGTCCATTTACAGTTAGCATCTAGGAAAATGCCTAGATGTTTATGATGTTCGATAAAATCAATATTAACATTATTAAAAATGAGATTGACATCAAGCTCAGCATTGGTATTTGAAATTAGTAGCGCTTCAGTTTTATTAGGATTAAATTTAACAAGCCAATTTTCTGCCCAGTTATGAATTTTTTCAAGATCTCGGTTAGTAGTAGTTTCTAGTTCAATTGCGGAAGGAGAAGAGACGGATAGGGAAGTATCATCAGCAAAAAGACGGGAAGGGCTGACAAGGTTATCAGTTATATCGTTGATATACAAGAGAAAAAGAAGCGGACCTAAGACAGAGCCCTGGGGTACACCAGCATTAGTTGTTTTAGTATGAGAAGTAACATTGTGGATGAAGACTTGTTGATGGCGATTCTGTACATAATCGGATAGCCAGTCTAAAAGATTTCCAATTGCCATGGTTGGGTTATACTCAGCATTGTCGTTTAAAAGTCAGCACGGTCAGATTAAAGTCAGCATAAAGATTTTACCTGTGTTCATTAATCCGCGCGCGAGCTCCACACGGCCAGTACTAGACAACAGCAGGGGATTTCACACCTGTAGGCCGCGAGCGTCAGCTCTGATCGCGGCATTTCTTTACCTTTGAACCGCCTATAGACATCAGTGTCACACCAAATGGCTACTGAAATCCTTCCGTACACGGCCATTCTTTACCCGCTGTGCTTACGTAAGCACAGCCTGTTCATTGGGTAGACTACCATCGCAAATAACGAAAGGCGAATTTCGTTCACTGTTCTACGCTCAGCGCGTTTTGAAATGTTCTGGTCATACTTTATCGACAGATTTCTAATAATTATATTAGTAATAAATAATGGATTATGTTGAGTTCATATCTTTATTGACAACAATTATTTTTCAAAATACATACTTTCTTTGAACGTAACTATGTTGTTTTTCAATCAAGTAGCTGCCTAGTTAATCGTGTGTTTATATAGTGTTTTAAGCTTTAATCAAATCATTTATACGATGTTCTCGTCATACTTTTATCAAACGCAAATATGTTGTTTCGGAAATATTTACACCCGTTAAATGTTTTAAAATCGTTGTTTTTTTTACTTAAAATAAGAATCGCCTGTTCACTTAGTTGTGTATGTTTTCATTGGTTGTACTTGCTTTGAAATGAAACAATCGCCTCGTTATCATTGTTATAGTCATTCTTTCATCGACATAAGTTTGATTTGTAATAAATCACCGATGATTATATGATGATGTTGTGTGGCTACTGTATTGAAATGATCATCGACCGTAATTGTTTACTTCTAAAACTATGACACTGTTTGTACCTTTATTCGGCCTGATGATCTGAAATTCTTGTTTATTAATCACTCGATTTAGATGATAATTTGAAACTATATAACTGTGCCGTGTTTGTAATTTACGTTGGCCTGGTGTTTTAACATACATGTTGTTTGTTATGTACATACTCGATTAATATGTCAAATTAAACTACAAAACTGTGCCGTGTTTGTAATTTACTTCGGTCTGGTGTTTTGAAATACATGTTTAGTTTGTTATGTACATACTCGATTAATATGTCAAACTAAACTACAAAACTGTGCCGTGTTTGTAATTTACTTCGGTCTGGTGTTTTGAAATACATGTTTAGTTTGTTATGTACATACTCGATTAATATGTCAAACTAAACTACAAAACTGTGCCGTGTTTGTAATTTACTTCGACCTGGTATTTTGAAATACATGTTTGTTTTATAATCGATAAATATGTCAATTTAAGCTATAAAATTGTGCCGTGTTTGTAATTTACTTCGACCAGTTAATTTGAAATACTTGTTTGTTACATACTCGAACAGTGCCGTGTTTGTAATTTACTTCGACCTGGTATTTTGAAATCCATGTTTGCTATGTACATACTCGATTAATATGTCAAATTATACTATAAAACTGTGCCGTGTTTGTAAACTTGGACCAGTTGTTTTAAAATACATGTTTTAAACATTTGATTAATATGTCAAAACATGTGCCGTGTTTGTAGTTTACTTCGACCTGATGTTTTGTAATACGTCTTTGATACATAATCGATAGATATGTATAAAACTGTGTCGTGTTTGTAATTTATTCGACCAGGTGTTTTAAAATACATGTTTGTTTTATACTCGATAATATGTCAAATGAAACGATAAAACTGTGCCGTGTTTGTAATTTACTTCGACCTGATGTTTTGTAATACGTGTATGTTATTAATGTGTATATCAATGTTAAATAATATGTCTAAAAACCGTAAGGTTCGGAGCAATTTGACAATACAATAATTTGCTTTACTACACATCAGATGTTCTTGTATGTAGTAATGCCTGGTCTCATAATGCATTTTTATAGCATCAGAAAAGGCTTTGATCATTTGATATCTGATAATGCAGTAGCTAATAATTGTTTTTGAAGGACTCTGTACATATGTCTTACTGATAATAAATGGTGCCAAATATATTCATATAATTATTTGAAATTGGCACGCATTTCTAAAATGACCCTTTCGCAACCCATTTTCATTGGAAGAACATGATATCAGTAGTGTGATGAACATGTGTTGTTGAATTGAAATGACATAAATGTAAGTTGTATTGAAAAGACAAAAAAGTAAATTGTAAGACAGAAAAAATATAATCTTGCTTCAAATGAAGATTTGTAACAACCTTATTTTAAGAACCTGGTTAGAAATATTATTAAATAATTCATATCTTAAGATGTTTTTTGAAATTGAATAATTTATAAAAAAAAAGGAGTTCGTGTTCTAATGTGTCATGAAAGAAATTACCCTCGTACATCAAAGCCGCCATTTTAACTTGTTTATTTTTAGAAACCGGTATTTTCAGAGCTAAATGATCAAACATTGCAAGTTTTGTAACAACCTCATTTTGAAAACCTGGTAAGAAATATTATCAAATAATGAATTTATTAAGACTTATTTGAAATTGTCTAGATAACAAAAACGGAGTTTGTGTTCTCCTGAAGCCAGAATCATTACCGATATGTAAACACAGCCACGATGTGCAATCTTTCGATGTTTACACGATTTACAATCTTTTAATATTACGTTGATTTTCAATGTTATCTTATTGCACAATTATGTTTTGAACAGAAAAGGATTATTGAATGCAGCGAACCGTATATCCAATATGGCGCAGATGAAGCGTGACTCGCGATATGACATCCGTTTATCGTGACCAATGGTAAGGTAAAGAGCAAGTTGGATGGATGGATGACGGGTTTCGCGCCTACATGAATCCGCCCTTACGGGTTTCATCTCACTGACGGAAGTCAGTGTTCAGTCGGCATAAAGAGCAAGTTGCCAATCTCTGTAATATATACGTCTCTGATTCAATCCTGAATCACGGAAATCTAATTCCGTACCTGCATCAACTATTTCAACAGACAGCCGAAGTAAATTACAAATACGGCACTGCTACATAGTTTAATTTTGATACATAAATCGAGTGTTTAAAACAAGTATTGCAGTTCATCAGGCCGAATAAAGTTACAAACAGTGTAATAGTTTTAGAAGTAAACAATTACGGTCGATGATCATTTCAATACAGTAGCCACACAAAATCATCATGTAATAATCGGTTATTTATTACAAATCAAACTTATGTCGATGAAAGAATGACTATAACAATGATAACGAGGCGATTGTTTCATTTCAAAGCAAGTACAACCAATGAAAACATACACAACTAAGTTAACAGGCGATTCTTATTATTCTTATTCTTGTTATCCAAGTCCGTGGTAAGACCAAACGTCGATTTGATATACGGTAGCATTGCATTGTTTACCGGGTCGTGTATGTATAATGATTAGGCTAATTATGTCGTAGACGAATTAAAAACAAAAAATCTGTAGCAAACAGGACAACTTTTTAAAACACACACAAACTAAAGTAGAATGAACAACAAGCACACAAACACACACACCTACACACGCCAGATGTGCTTATGTTCCAGATTATCAGGCGAAATTCATGTTATTCATGTACATATTAAACAGCTACGTTTACAAAGTATTATTTGCTACAAAATGTGTACAATAATTCGGCTAACTGTAGCAATGTTTATGTTCATCAGCATAAATTAATCTTATGAATAAACCACTTTTTATGAATTCTTTATTGTGACATGCTTACTTGATAATGGAGTATTAATTACTACGGAAACCCATTGGTATCAAATGAAATCCAAAAAAACAAATTATTGCGTAATTACCCAACACTTTGGCAAATTATTTTTATTTAAGTTTTCATTTGGCACTAATGGGCTTCCGTAGATTACAGACTCAAGAATAACAGAAAAAAATCTAAATTCTGATATTTAGAGTGACTTATTTCATAAATAGGATGTAACTAAAAGGCTTAAGAATGCATTTTTGTCACATATACTTGCGGTAATTAATTAACACTCATGCAATGTTCAGTCATTATCCATTACGACAGTAATAAGATCCATGTGAGACCGGCCTGTAATTTAATTAACTGCAATCGTGTCAAGGCTTATCAGCCAAGGCCCTGATCATGGATATTACACTGGTGTGTACTGACCCTGTACTCTGTAACTGTATCATAAGGCACCATAGCCATGTAGCAATAAACAGGTAGTTGTAAATACCACATACGGAGTTTGTCATTATATTGATTACGGCCACAACATAACATGTCACTTGTAGCATGTTATGGTCAAAAAGCGATATATCGACATTGTTTATGAACACAGTGGCCATTTTCAAACATAAAATCAAATTTCCTGCCTTTAAAAAAATGAATTTTCTTGTTTGTAACCACCAAGTGTAGTATTCGTGAAATTCCAGGGGTTACGCCAACTTACGCTCTCTGCACCCCTGTGATTTTTATATCATAACATAATTGAAGGTACACGGTTAGCCCGAGTTTCATCTGGACCTGACACCAGACATGTCTGGTCCACACCTTTCTGTCAAAATATCTAAGTCTGGTGTCAGTGTCAGAGGAAACTCGGTCTGGTACCCGGCTATATATTTGATTAGTCTCTGGTAAAAAAAATCTGACCAATCGCAAGGCTGATACTTGTAGTTTGAAAGTAGCTTCAAATCTGGTCAATTTTACCGTTACGCCGCTATCGCGAGATTCTTTTGACGTACATCACAGGACCAAACTAGTCGTCTTGTCTCATACACAAGGTGGCGCACACTAAGCTCTACCCTTCGATTTAGTCCTGCCATATCACAGGGGAGCAGAGAGCGCAACCCACGTATCATCGAGGATGTCAGTGTGTTAAGACTAAGATAAACGTGAATAGAATGTTTGCACCGCAAGTATTTGAGAAAAATGCAGAAAGGCGTCACTTTAAAATAGCGGGATACAATGCAATTGCTAAACACTGAACTTATTCAGAAACAGCAATACTCATACCTGCTAACCCTTGAATCATTGCAAAATTCTGTTCGGGTTATACTGTAACGCGCGACAAAAAACCTCAAACCTAATCTATTAATTTCTGCGCTGTCAAGGCATAACATATGTTGTCTTCTGGTATGATTTAGGACTTTTTTTAAATCAATCTTTTCACACATTTCGTTTTATTACATTCTCTCTTTTCAAAATGCTGATTTCCCAGTACATAAAGTACAGGTAGTTTGAGTTAAGTGTAGAAAACTTGGCATCTTTCATCTTTGATGCATACTGGAACCATGAACTCATCTAGAAGCTCCTCTATCTATTTCTCCCTCTCATCTTTATGTACTACATTGGGAATCTGAATGTCTGAAAGCTGGAATCTTGAAAAAATAAATCACAAATGTTAATATGCTGAAGTATTATACTTGCTACATCTTGTATCTATACTGAACGTTGACAAGTCCTTGTCTCCCTTAATGTATGGTTTGGCATGAGATCTCACTGATGTCACATTTTCAATAAACACTGACGGAATTTGCGTAGAATAAAGGTTTTCAGAAATTCAACAATAATGGGTTTTTTTCAAAAGAAATAGAACATATAAATAGTTACCAATAAAGAGTTAAAACAGTCACTCACGTTAATTTGGGGGAAAACGTCTACTCCCTACTTCAGACACAATCTGATTGTTTGGATGCAAGTGCTATTTCATCTACATTTGTTCTCTCTTTGCTGCGCTGTAACAGAAATAACATTTATTTAAATTTATAACAAAAAGGCAGATACATAGGTAATTGTATCGTACAGTATTAGGTATCGATAGAGAACAGCACTTTGGTACAAAGTTCCAGTGAGGTCAAATCCTATAATCTGGTTAAAGCCGTGCCTTGATTGACATGTAGGCTGTTTCAAGGGTAGGTAGTGCAAGCAGGTACATCCATTGACAGATAGATGATAAGTCACAGGGTTGACTTAGATTGCTATGGAATATAAGACGGGCTTGACGGAAAACAACAAATGTTAGTTTTGATAGGAGAACGTTACTTTTACTCGCTGCACGTGACACTCTGTTTTCTACTTTGTTTGTATATCTACATTCTAGTGTATATATGTGCATCCTCACATCCTCAATACAACAGGGCTGTTTATCACGAACCAAAGGTGTTCGTTTATGAACTGAGGTCGGACCTAGTAATCTGATGTTGCTTTCAGGTGAGCCTGGACAAAACCTTGCAAGGCTTGCATAAATTTTGCATCAACGAACAGGCCCGTGGACACGCTCACTGTTGCTCTCTGCACATGTAGAAAAAAAACCTCTGACCAACCGCTATGGCCGATACCTATCCTGTGAAGATTACAGAGGAGCGACACCCGACTTCAAAGCTAATCAATTTTATCGTTAGGCGACCGACATTATTTAAGGATCGAAATAGTCTTCTTGTCTCATCCACAAGGTGGTGCGCACTGAGCCCTCGCCTTGCTATAACATATTCCAGGGGTGTAGAGAGCATTACGTGAGCGTACCCCCTGGAGTATCGAGGATGAAAATTCATGTGATATCCCTTGCATGATGATAATTTTTTGAGTTGTCACAAATACATATTTTGTTGATAATCATAATGACACTCCCACCTTCGTTACGTGTTAGACGATGACATTTCATGACCTTTTCAGTAACATCACCGACAAATATGTCAAAACCATTGATAACAACAACTGAGTAGCACGTCCTGTTTCCCAATCAACACTACCAGTAAGCGATACCGATGTCAAACTACAAATAGACGATATAGGACACGCTGTATTATATTAAAATCAATGTAATGCTACCGTTTAGTGTTCAATAAAGCTTCAGCGTCGTTTTTTAACTGAAGCCATAATGGAGCTTCTATATACAAACTCTTAACATTTTTCTTCAGCAAATTCTAAATACTAGTATCACATTAGTTTCGTTGTGTTTCTTTTATCATTGCTCGTCAGGATTATACTGCGCTCTATACAAGCTAAAATTAGGCATTACTCATCGAGCTTTCACTGTGCTATGTACAAATATAATCAGGCATGTATGAGCCCATGTATGTCTACTCGGTTCTATTTTATCTGTATTGCTTGCTATCTAGTCATCCTCGAAACTCCTGGGGTTACGCACTCTAGCTAGTCAACTACTGTTAAGAAGGTGTGAAATTTCTGCTTGAAACGTATCAGACACAATAAACAGAGGTAGGGTCCAACTGTGTTTTGATAACTGTCAAATCACCGATCAACTCCATTAAATTTACTATGTATATGTACTAGTACTGTATATATACGTACCTGACAGTAAAATCCAATTATTGAACCGATATGCACATGGTGTTGTGTGATTACACAACTGTACCTAGTTTTCGTTCAATGTGTTGGATGAAACAGAATATCAGTAATATATGCTCAGATGTCAGATTTGACATATATTTTTGTTACAACTAAGCCCCTGTGATTTCACTGAACTCGTTTTCCCCTTGCAGTTGCCATATATAAGCATATATTTATGAGGAGGTATGGAAGTCTAGTGGTAGGACGCCGGGCTCGTGACCGAAGGGTTGCGGGTTCGAGTCACAACATGGCACTGTGTTCTATCTTTGAGCAAGATACTTTACTCCGCTTGTTCTAGTCTACTCAGCTGTAAATGAGTACGTGGTTGGACAGTGCTAGAATTGGTGAATGCTAGCTGTGAGTGCCGAAATGGCAGCACCGGTTGTTTGCCCCTCAGGGAGTTGAGAAAGATATTGGCTGGTTGCAAAGGCCCTATAACCACGGATAATAATTTGTAAACCGCTTTGAGACGACCACGAACTAGGTTGTGATAAAGCAGTATATAACAACCTCGAATTATTATTATTATTTACGTTTCAGGAAAGAGAGTAGTGTGATTCCACCAGGGATCGAACCCGCAACCCCGGACTTCCTAGACAGACGCTCTACCACTGAGCTAAAGGGTAAAGCCCCCCCCCCCCCGTTTCAAATGTGTTCGCCCTCGAACCACTGTTCAATGTTGTGTATGGCTAATATTGTCTAACATTAAGTATTTCTAGATCTCCCTTAGTATTTCTATAGCATGGAATTCTTTCGGCAAGACATTTGCTGGTGAAAACCACAGACTTAGATCTAATTTTTGGGTAAAACATGAAACAGGAAGCTTTTCTTATAATTACAAACATTTCAACTCATATTCATCACTTTAAGACATTCATTTATACTAGGGCGAAACAACCTTGGGCGAACTGGTTTTAGGGCGAAATGACACTTAGTGTGAACGGGATTTAGGGCGAAACAGCCCGGATCCGTCACCACAGGCCACAGACACCATTTGTAACATGAAAGAGACGTGTGATTCCACAAGATCAAACTCGCGATCCTAGTCAAGTTGCTCTATAAGCTACCACTGAGCTAAGTTTAAATTCCCTCTAAAGTGAAGCTAGAAGGCGACGCCTCGACCGTTATCCTATATGTAAAATTAAAATCTGTTACACAAAATATTTATATCTTTTTTATTTGACCTACCCCGAATGATCCTCAGGTTTAGCAACTTGTACTTTAAAAGGGCTGATGTTGGCCGAGGCTGCGTCCACAATTCCTTTGATTCCACCGACAACTTGCTTGAAGAATCCAGCCAGCATTTGACTAGAGATCGATATCTGAATAAGATCTGAGAAAGCAACACGAATAAAATTATTGTTAATAAAGTCCCAGTTTTACGAACGTTCATTTAATTAAATTTGCTAGCTTAACATTTTCAGCAGGAAAGCATAACCCAATTTAGAGAACTTTGGGACATTACCAAATGACTGCAATTTGAAAAGGGACACCTGTAGCACTCAAATGTGGGTACCCAATAGTCAATTACAGTACGCTTAGTTACATGTAGAGACGCATAGAGCCATGACCTGTCCATCCTTTTTACTTCGGACTTGAAGCTATTCCAACTGACCATGCAAACTTGATTTTGTAATTTACAGAGACCGGTGTTTGGGTTTTTCCGGGTATTTTTGTGTACCATCAGTGTCAGTAAAACGTTTCGCCTTAGGATTGACAAAATAAAACGTTTTGAATACATTACTGTACAATCTGTTATTCTACTCTGGTCCGTTCAGTTCCGTTTATGTTCATGATTCTGCTTTTGTTATATGCTTAATTCTGGTGTCTAATTTGTTATCTAGCTAGTCTGTTTTTAAAGCGACTAAATTTAGCTATATGTCTCTGATTTCACAATCCACTGTAACGTTACTGGTTCCCACTGGGCATGGTTGTCGTGCAAGTTTTTCTATAACTGTGCCAAAATAAATCAAATAAATTAAAATAAAAGAATATCGTGTGATCACTCGGCATGCTGTCGTGTAAGTATAAATAAACAAAAAACTAATTAAATTTTGTCCAGTGACGCATATTACATATTTTTATTGTAATATACGTCTCTGGCATGGCTAGCGGCCGTGCCAGTGCACTATTGAACCACACACTAGGCCTAGAGCGAAACAAGGAGGCGAATGTGACACACGACAAGTTACATGCTATTTCCGAGAGGAAACCTATGACAAAACACATAACCAGTGTAACAATGGATCATGGTAACGAATGTACAACAGCTAAAAAATCAGCACGAGTTTAGACCTAGTAAATTAGCAACCAGTACACCAATTACCCAAATGAGCAAACAGGGTACAAAGGACTCCAATGAAGATGGTGAGTGCAAAAATGCTATAAACATATACCCGATAAGGGGCTCATGTGTCAATGATATAAACATATACCCGATAAGGGGCTCATGTGTCAATGCTATAAACATATACCCGACAAGGGGATCATGTGTCAATGCTATAAACATATCCCCGATAAGGGGCTCATGTGTCAATGATATAAACATATACCCGACAAGGGGCTCATGTGTCAATGCTATAAACATATACCCGACAAGGGGATCATGTGTCAATGCTATAAACATATACCCGATAAGGGGCTCATGTGTCACTGCTATAAACATATACCCGATAAGGGGCTCATGTGGCAATGCTATAAACATATACCCGATAAGGGACTCATGTGCAGGGGATGTAAACTGTCCTACTGCCAGAAATGGTCACAGATATCCATGTCAGCACACGTATACTCTATCATTATATCATCATAGTCACACAATATCATCACAGTTACTCTTAATTACCATAGTCACACAATATCATCACAGTTACTATTAATTACCATAGTCCATACAATTCATCACCACAGTTACAACATACTACCATAGTTACACTGTGGTCACTAATATCTATGCCAGCGCAATTACACTCTATCATTATATCTTCATAGTCACACATTATCATCACAGTTACTCTTAATTACCATAGTTACACTGCATCATCATAGCCAATCGAACCGAATATCATTTATGTTTACGTCTATACCACTGTCAATATTATGTAACTATTATATTGCATTTAGAAAGGAAATTCATTTTTCATCCAAACTAATTTAGATATTCCCTGATTGTGAAAACCATTTGAAATTGAAGTGCATAACAAAGTATGATACATAAAGGAGATACGGTGATGATCATACTCTGTGTTAAATTATTTTTGTTGTTGTTTAAACTGCAGCATATTGAGGTAAGAGTTAAGTAACCAAATCTTGGACCCGACGTCGCGCCAACCTCACTGCGGTGGACAAACGTAAGTCGAGGCAACGTTAGTTTCCGTCGGTCAACGTTTGATAAACGTTTGACTGCTAGCTAGGCTGGTGTCGTCTGCTGAACGACATGTTTCGTAATTCGTACAGGCCAAAAATTCAAAGGATTAGCCTGGACACACCATAAACTTGATGAGGGGGCCCTATTTAACAGAAATGTCTAGAAATGGACAAAATGGGCCTTGACATTGAGTAACAGATCATTAAAATATGCTTGCATATTAATGATTTCGAGTTATTCGGATTGCCAACCAGTGATAGATTTTAGGGTTGTTTGGTGTTTAAATCGTGAGATTAGAGACATCGATGTTACTCATCCAGATCTCTATATTTTGAGAACTATTTGCAAATGGTGGAGTAATTAAGACGTTAATTTTACCGAGAAAGACCATCAAAGGGTCATAAAGCCTTGAATTGCAAAGTAAAAGAAACATATCTTTGAATCCACCGAGATATTAGCATTTATTATATAATATAAGGCTTCTGCAGTGCAATAAAGGGGTGCAATAAAATTGATATTGAACGTGTGCAATAAAGATGCAAATGAGCGCGCGACACCGTGGGAACTAGGTCGTATTCCTACGCCCATGTGGTCTGTTCATCCAATTTAGTCAAGATGTACTCAGAACAGTCGTTGTTTAGTCGCTATTATTATTATATAAACTTATTGTAATGAGTCATGAGACTTGGTTCAAGCGCCAACCCGTTGGTATCAACAAGCTAAAATCCATGATGCAACGTGCCATAAAGGGAGCAGGAATCCAAACTGACAAACACTTGTCAAATCACAGTGCGAGGAAATATCTTGTCCAGAAATTGAACGATAATAACATCCCCGCTAACCATATAATGCAAATTTCTGGTCACCGAAACATTTCTTCTATTAATAATTATTCACACATCAACACGAATCAACACAAAGAAATCTCCAAAATACTGCACGGAAATCCAACAGCACCTGAGACCGGATGCAACACAACATCACTGACACAACAATCAATGGCGTGTAACCAGTCAACTTCCTCTGTTGTCAGGGTCCAGGGCGGTTTCCAAAGTATCTTTTCAGGTGCTGTCACAGGAGGAAACATACAAGTTCATGTTTACCAAGGACCTCCTCTGAAAAAACGCGCCCGTGTTATAGAAAGTGACAGTGATTCTCAGTAGGCCTAATATCCAACACATGTGTTTTCGGTTTCCGACGACCTTCACAGTGCGCGCGCTCTTACACTGTTCATGACGTCACCGATGAAAAAAAACAGTTTTTTTCCGAAGCGAAAAAAAAGAAGTCATATTTTGTAAACTTTTATTATTTCAATTGTTATCACAATTAAAATGATCGTTAAAAGTAAAACTGTTGGCCATTTATTATTCTGATAAAATTCTGCGGACTACTTTTGTTAGCGGAACATGCTCTCAAATTAGTATATGTGATGCGTCCTTTCTCGTCGTCATTGCATATAGAGACGTTAGTATTGAAACCACTTATGTAGGTAGGTTTCTCGAATTATATAATAAATAGAATCTAACACTCGTGTTCATGTTATATTGAATTTATTGAACTCGTATATTAATTTCATATGAAATTAATATACTCGTTCAATAAATTCAATATAACATGAACACTCGTGCTAGATCCTCTATATATGTTTACGCTTCCGGATAACAACTAAATTTAACGTTTGACTGAAAAACATAGCAATACCTCTGCACCCCTGGAATATGTCAGGACAAAATCGAAGGCTAAGTATGCGCCACCTAGAGACAAGAAGATTAGTTTGATGTCCAACATAAATGGTAAAAGAAACACAAAGAAACTAATGTGATACTAGTATTTATAATTTGATGAAGAAAACTGTTAAGAGTTTGTATATATAAGCTCCATTATGGCTTCAGTAAGAAAACGACGCTGAAGTTTTATTGAACACTAAACGGTAGCATTACATTGATTTTAATATAATACAGCGTATGCTATAACGTCTATTTGTACTTTGACATCGGTATCACTTACTGGTAGTGTTGATTGGGAAACAGGACGTACTACTCAGTTGTTGTTATCAATGAGTTTGACATATTTGTCGGTGATGATACTGAAAAGGTCATGAAATGTCATCGTCTGACTCATAACGAAGGTGGGAGTGTCATTATGATAATCGACAAAATATGTATTTGTGACAACTCAAAACATTAACATCATGCAAGGGATATCACATGCATTTTCATCCTCGATACTCCAAGGGGGGGGGGGGGGGGGGACGCTCACGTACGCCCTCTGCACCCTGGAATATGTTATAGCAAAGTCGAAGGCTCAGTGCGCACCACCTTGTGGATGAGACAAGAAGACTATTTCGATCCTTCAAAAATGTCGGTCGCGTAACGGTAAAATTGACTAGCTTTGAAGTCGGGTGTCGCTCCTCTGTAATCTTCACAGGACAGGTATCGGCCTTAGCGGTTGGTCAGATTTTTTTACATGTGCAGAAAGCAAAAGCGAGCGTGTCCATGGACCCGTTCGTTTACGCAAAAGTTTATGCAAGCCTTGCAAGGTTTTGTCAACATCAGATTACTAGGTCCGACCTCAGTTCATAAACAAATAGCTTTGGTTCGCGATAAACGAAAACGGCCCTGTTGTATTGAGGATGTGAGGATGCACATATATATACTAGAATGTAGATATACAAACAAAGTAGAAAACAGAGTGGCACGTGCAGCGAGTAAAAGTAACGTTCTCCTATCAAAACTAACATTTGTTGTTTTCCGTCAAGCCCGTCTTATATTCCACAGCAATCTAAGTGTCGACCCTGTGGCTTATCATCTATTTGTCAACGGATGTATCTGCTTGAACTTCCTACCCTTGAAACAGCCTACATGTCAATCAAGGCACGGCTTTAACCAGATTATTACCGGTACCCCCTTTCCGCTTTCAGCTCGTGTCAATCACAAATCTTTGTCCATATTGGATATACCTCGCTTTCATATTGCAGACAAATGATTTTATTTACAAAATGAAACCATAGCTACGACTGTCTGACACATAGTTATCCACTGACACCGCTTTAAAGTCGCAATTACACCATTTAATTGCGACCGAACCAAATTCTATACTCACGAGAAATGACCAAGATTCACGGATAAACTATATCCAAGGAATGGTTTAAATTCTTATTTGATATCCTCAATCCAATAACCCCTGGAGTTTCACGAATTCTAGATCTACACTTGGTATTACAAACAAGAAAATTCAAGTTTTTAAAAGCAGGAAATTTGATTTTATGTTTGGAAATGGCCACTGTGTTCATAAACAATGTCGATATATCGCTTTTTGACCATAACATGCTACAAGTGACATGGTATGATGTGGCCGTAATCAATATAATGACAAACTCCGTATGTGGTATTTACAACTACCTGTTTATTGCTACATGGCTATGGTGCCTTTTGATACAGTTACAGAGTACAGGGTCAGTACACACCAGTGTAATATCCATGATCAGGGCCTTGGCTGATAAGCCTTGACACGATTGCAGTTAATTAAAATACAGGCCGGTCTCACATGGATCTTATTACTGTCGTAATGGATAATGACTGATCATTACATGAGTGTTAATTAATTACCGCAGGTATATGTGAGAAAAATACAATCTTCGCATTCTATAGCATTTTAAGTACATCCTATCTATGAAATAAGTTACTCTTAATATCAGAATTTAGATTTTTTTCTGTTATTCTTATAGTGTTAGCCATATATACATAGTTATATGATACAGACTATAGGCGGACTATTGCGAGTCTACTATGAAACAGCCTATAACGGTATGTACTGATTGTTGTGTATTGTGTACTACGTCACGAGGATTGAATAAAGCATGGCTTGACCCAACCACATGCGTTGTCTCTGTATCACGAACAACCTAGGTCGAATACAACTTACAACAATTCTGAGTCTGTATTCTACGGAAGCCCATTAATGTCAAATGAAATCTTAAAGGGGCATCACGCTGAAGTAACTTTTTTTTTTGTCTTTTTTCCAAATACTACATAAACATATCAAGTGAGACTCCTTATGGAAAATGCCGATCGGATTTGGCTGAAAGAGATTCATAAAAATGATTAAATCTAAGATAATCATCGGTATTTCTACCTGTCTGACCAACGTTTTGTTCAGGGATTTCCCTCTACTAGCGCATGCGCATAGCACACCATTTCTTTGTAAACAAAATGACTGGCCGTGTGAAGTAAGCCGAAGGAAAATGGTGTACCGTGTCAGCTACGAAGCGAATAGTTGCCAAATGGTCAAAAGATAGCGCAAGGGGTACGTTACGGAATCATTATTGCCAGTGGGAAGTATTCAAAGCAGAAAATAACTGCCCTAGCAGTCAGTACGGTGCATGTTTTCTTCCGGATAGCGGCCGGTTAAGCTGAAATAAAATCGACAGAAATGCTAGCGCTGTTTATGTTATGAATAAATATCTAAAACTATTAACCTCGCTAGTATCATTGTGTGAGTTTGAACACAGATGAACTTAGTTTAATATGTTAATGGGCATGTATCGGAGAGAGTTTACTTTGTGTTTTTTTTAATTATACAGTGGTTTATGCAAACGAAAGGGATAAGTGACTGGTTAGTTTGATTTTGCCATGAGGCCCCC